ATATGCACATACATATATAAGAAATGATGTATTCACAATGATACATCCAATTCAAGCCCATCCCACAGGGTTCTTTCCTTCTTTCTTTTTCCTTTTAAGAGACAAGGTGTTACTATGTTGGCCTGGCTGGAATACAGTGGCTAGCCACAGGCACCATAATAGCATACTGTGGCTTCAAGCCATCCGCCCACTTCAGTCTCCCAAATGGCTGGAACTATAGATGCATACCACCACACCAACTCAGGGTCCTTTCTTGACTTCATTCATTCTATTTTGTCTTTTCTTTTTGATTGAGATTCTGCTTCTCAATAACAATCAACACATTTGCTAAGACCTATAAAGCATCTAAAATTGTTTCAGAACTGCTTTGCTCCATCACTAAAACAACAAAACAAAACAAAAAACATACCAAAAAAAAAAAAAAAAAGGTTTAGGACTTGTATGAAATTCCTTCCCAACTCAATTCCGTCCAGACAAAACACTGAACGCAAATACTGTATTCATTAGTTACTTGAATTGGTTCTATGTTTTTTTTTTCTTATCATAATTATGGTATTCATTTGAAATACAATTAGATTCATTTTCTGCAGTACACTTGCAGTTTTAGGTTTATTTTCCCCTTTCCATCTTAATTTTTAATATATTTTTTGAATGAGTAGAATATTAACATGTACACAAAAGTAAATATTACATGATAATGTATTCTTAGAGAGGTGTCACTCTTTCTTGTATCTTAACATGCATGTCTACCCATGTTGTAGGTAATTAATTTCATTGCTGTGTAGTTTATCCCTCCTTTGATTTCTTTTACAAAAATAAGCAGCTATATTTTTAATTTTCCTTGTTCATAAAACATACAGAAAGGAGTGACACCTCTCTAAGAATATCATTTTATGCCCGGTGCAGTGGCTCACACCTGTAATCCAGCACTTTGAGAGGATGAGGCAGGCAGATCACCTGAGGTCAGGAGTTCAAAACCAGCCTGGCCCACATGGCAAAACCGTGTCTCTACTAAAAATACAAAAATTAGCTGGGCATGGTGGTGCGCACCTGTAATCCCAGCTGCTCGGGAGGCTGAGGCAGAAGAATCGCTTGAACCCAGGAGGTGGAGGTTGCAGTGAGCTGAGATCGTGCCCCTGCACTACAGCCTGGGTGACAGAGCAAGACTCCATCTAAAACAAAAACAAACAAAAGAATACCATTTCATGTAATTTTTACTTCTTACTTCTGGGTACATGTTAATATTCTGCTTCTCTTCCAGGAGTAGCAACTTGTCTGATGATGTTCAATCTCCAATTCCTTTGGTAGCTGCTTATTATTAAATGTTTAGGTTCTGGAGTTATTTTTTATTGGGAGATGTCGTCTGTCAGAGTCTTACTCCATAATTTCTTAGATGGTTTGATTTAATGATTTTAGAAGCTAGGAGTTCGATGATAGTATAGATTTAACTCGCATTTCTTTTATTATGAGAGAAAGAGATTGAGTATCTTTTCATTTGTTTAAGGGACATTTTTACAGCTTTTTTGATGAATTATCTGTTCAGGTCTTTTGCCTATTTTTCTATATAGTTTTGGTTTCTCTTCAACTATTAAAACTTCTAATTGGTTATTATTTGTGTATATGGATGTAATTTAGTTTTGCATATTAATTTTATATCTTGCTAGCTTATCAACTTACTGAGTTACTTTTATCACTCTCTAGGGTATTCCAGATTACTACTATATCATCTGCAAAAAGAGACAGTTGTATTTTTTCTTTTCCAAGTCATATGCCTCTAATTGTATCTTCTTTTTTGTGTTATTTTTATTAAGTTTATACACTGACGCTATACTTGCTTCATGAAAAGAATTTGGAAATTTTCTTTCATTTTTTACACTCTGAAGCAATTTATATAGCTTTAAGACTGTCAAAGGTTTGGTTAAATTTCTCTGTGAAGCCATCTTGCCGGGTCCTTTTATCTAGTAGTTTCTTGATACCTTACTTTATCTCTTCTACATAAAATGGCCTTTTAGGCTTTCTATCTTTACTCTGGTCAGTTTTGGCAAACTACATTTTTAAAAAAAATTTTTTAAAAATAGGTGAGTCGATCTTATTCATGTTAAGATAATCATTATGTTTTGTTGCGGTTCTATCAAATTGTCTTATGTTGAAATTCTTGTGTATATTTACTGCATTTCTTTGTGTGTCCTTTTTACTTAAAAAATTCTTTTTGGGCAGGGCGCGGTGGCTCAAGCCTATAATCCCAGCACTTTGGGAGGCCGAGACGGGTGGATCACGAGGTAAGGAGATCGAGACCATCCTGGCTAACACGGTGAAACCCCGTCTCTACTAAAAAATACAAAAAAAACCAAAAACTAGCCTGGCGAGGTGGAGGGCGCCTGTAGTCCCAGCTACTCGGGAGGCTGAGGTAGGAGAATGGCGTAAACCCGGAGGGGAGCTTGCAGTGAGCTGAGATCCAGCCACTGCACTCCAGCCTGGGCGACAGAGTGAGACTCCGTCTCAAAAAAAAAAAAAACAAAAAATTCTTTTTGGTGTTTATGAAGGTTTGTATTTTCATTCTATAGGTTATCTTTCCATTATTACTTTTTAAGTGCTTACTGTCTCCTCTATTTTTACCTAATTTTTATGTGATATCAGTTTTAAATATTTGTTGACTGCTACCCTTTGCTTATATAAGAAAACGAGGTATTCTGTATTCCTCTTTTTTCTTTCTTATCCTCCCATCAAAAAATTTACATCTTTTGATTTTTGTTAACACATATAATGTTGACGTGTTAGTTTTTTCATCCATGCACTGACTCATTTTAGTCTCACCTGTACAATAAAATATATGAAGCATTTGGAAACATTTTTCAACGTTATTTCAAGGCATTTTTTAGTTGGATAAAACTCATCCTATCTGAAGGTCTTCAGGAATACCACATGTGTGTAGTATTCCCTTAGTGCTTGTATATCCCAAACTGTTTGCTATGGCCTTGATATTTTAAAAGTCAGGTTGGCTGTATACAACATTTTTGTATACTTTCTTTCTTTCCTTTAATGTTGAAAATGTTGTTCCACTATTGCCTTACTTTGCATGTTGTTTTGAGAAACCTGATGCTGGTCTAATTCTATTGCCTTCGTAAGTTACTTAATCTTTTTACTTGGAGGCATTGTGCATTTATTTTTCTCTAAAGTCTAATAATTTTACTAGAATATATTGTAGAGTAATCTTTCCAGGTCAGATTTCCCCAGTACCTATATTAGATTCAGGTCTTGTTTTAACTTTAGAAAGTTTTCTTGGATTATAGTTTTAAGTATTAGTGCTGTTCAGTTATTTTGATTGATTTCTTTAAGAAACTCTTTTACTTCTTGATTATACTTTCACTTTCCTAGTTGCTTTTCTTGTTTTTTCATTGCTTTTTCACTTGATTATATTCTTCCTAGGGCAACTTGTAATTTAGTTTTCATTTCTGATAGGATTTTGTCTCTTCCTTCTTTCCTAAGTTTTATCAACTCTCATTTCAGTTTTTCCTCATTTTTTTTGGGGGGGGGTATCAATATCTATTATTATTATTTTTTAAGCTTCTGATTTGAGATGTGTTTTTCTTAGCCTGAAATGCTTATTTGAGGGTATTCCCTTGAGTATGGAGTGTGACATTACAGTTTTCTTAAGCTTTTTGGTTAAATTGTTTTGGAAAGTTTTCATCAGGAGGAAAACTTTCATTGATATCAATCTGATTTTTTCAGTTATTTTATAATGATGGAGATAGAATTTTTGTTCTATTCTTTTTTATTTCACAGAAAAAGTTCTTAGTTCAAGAGCACTCTCTTCTGTGCAGTTTATTTAATGATCTTGTTTTGATGGTCATAGGGTAGGGTGGGTGGATTAGTAAGTTGTGTTCTGCTTTCATTTCTATAAGATCCTTAATTTTCCCTTCTTATTTCCTTCTTTCCCATCATTGCCTAGTCTCCAAGGAGTTCTATCCATTCTCTATTTATCTGGTTCTTCCTCAGAAACAATGATTCTTCAAGGCTGCCACTTCTGATTGCATTCATACTTTGAAGTCTCTTTTTTGTAGCTAGTGCTAAGAATCACCAAGTCCTGACCTATGTCCAGTATTTTGGCACTTATTGTTACATTTTCTCTTTCTGGGGTTGATTTTGTTTGTTCTTCATCTCATTCATGGTTTCTCTCTATTCTTTATTTCAGAATTTTTCAAGCCTTGCCTCCTCTGTTCTCTGTAATCCAGGTTTCAGTACAGGCAAGCTGCAGGAGTTTTGTTGGAATTATTCTTTTTCTTACTTTATTTATACATACCTTAAAGGCTGTGGTGTTTTATGTCACATAGTCATATTCAAAATATGGGTCCTGCATGGTTCTATTTGCTTTCTTTGTTGATTTTATGTTTTCTAAAGGGACTGTGTGAGGGAGATTAAAAATCAGGTGATCACTGTTGATCTCTAACAAAGTTCTCTTATTTATATTTTATTTGTCATTTGGGTTTTCATTTTATGATAATGTCATATATTTGTTTTATAGTAAGCTACCTCAAATTCTTTGAAGAATAATGCAAAGTGAAAATAAATATTTACTTTTTATTATTAACAAATAAATGTAAAAAATGCTCTGCCTTAATGGCTTTTTTGTTCTTTAGTAAAATGAAGTATGAGTAACAAAAGAAAAAAGAGAAAGAAAAAAGGGGAAATGAAAGAAAAGAAAACATAATGGAAAAGTAAGGAGATTGGTTATTTTGGTCTATGGATATCTTTCTTTCAAAGCAATTTCAAAGAGATTTTAACATTGTTTTGAGCAATAGTAGCAAGACTTTAGCATAGGTAAAGCCTCCAAAAGTGATTGCTTTTAAGATCTATGCTATTTTGTATTATATAATATGTATCAGGAAGCTCTGCGATATTATAAAGAACCACTGCTTTAGAATTATACCTCATATGTTCACACACACACACACACACACACGTGACACATGAGCACACATATACACAATACATATACTTACTTGCTTCACATTCTGGAGCTCTTCTGTCAATTGTTTCCTTTGCTTATCTGATTCCAATAATTTTTCCTATATTTAAAAAACCACCAAATTAACAACTTGTTATGAAACTATCAACAAGTATGACTTATTAGTTCCTTGTTTCAAAGCTTATATTCCCCAAATATCAAATTGCTGCAATCTGAAAATGTTGCTTTTAGTCATTTTTCCAGCTTTACATGGGGCACTTAAAAGTAATTAGTTATGTACAGTAAATTGTGATGTAAATATACTTTTTATTACCTTAATTTTGCATAATTTCAAAATGTAAGCGCAAACGCAAGCCAGTTAAGAGTACAAATGTGTAAATATTAACTGGATTTTGGTTAAGCTATCATTGCCAAAGAGATACCAAATTGAAGAGCATTATTATTACAAATTAGAATTAAAGGTCTTCGACCATACTAAAGAGGGCATATGATGAGATCTCTTAATTTCCTAATTTAATTTTAGCTTATTCTTGGAAGATTATCCATGAAAAGACAGATATGACTAATGTAACCAAAATATAAAATAATAGTTATTAAGATTAACATTATGCATACAAATAAAATACCTTTGGATTTGAAATTCAGTGAAGTATATACCCTACAATGTCCAATTTTGTTAATTGTATCTTAAATAAATTCACATTTTATTGGTCAAATCAGAAATACCAAGAGTAATTTAAGAGCCATTAAATACAAACCTGAACAGAGGAATTGCTTGAACATTAAATTGAGTGGTAAAGATTCATGGCAATATTGCAATGTTTATAAGAGGCAATATCCTTTCTGGTATATTTCAGCTTATTCTTGTCTAAGAGGTGAAATGAAGGTATATGAAAATGAATGTAATATAGCAATCTAATGAATATGCCACAGGAGCCAAGAGACTGCTGGCTCCTGTGATTTTATGTTCTGGCAAGTCACCTTCACTCTTGGTGCCCTAGTTTTTTTTGTATCTGTAAATGGAAAATATATCTATTTTCCATTCACCTTTGCAAAGCAGTAGCAATGTGAATGCTGCAGAAAGGCTTCCTTAAATAAAGCCTACAACACTTTTAAAAATTATTCTTGCAAGATAAAAATTAGCTACTGACATAAAATTATCTTGATTTCATTTTTATTTGTACTCATATTAGACATGAAGAATAGAGATGTCACAGGATAATGGAAAGTGATGAGACACCATCTAAATGCTTTATGAACTTCATTTAACAACCTCTGCTTTTCTATGAATGTATAATACAAGTAAAAAAAACTGAAAACAAAAACATTACCTTTAACAAAATATTTACTGCTTTGTACACTACTTTACATGGCTTCTTTAACTGGCCAGCTAATAGATAGGTTTTGAGGTAAAAGTAATTATAACATGTAAAATTTGCTTTATCTGGAATTTTTGCACCATATTCTAACCAACTGAGCTAGCTGGTTGCCAGCTTATCTGGGAGTTTAGGTTTTGTCATATTAGGGTATACTCAATTACATTTCATGAACTTTAAAGGCAAATCCTAATTTATTGAATGACTCCTCAGGAAAGTCTTATTTAAATGTTAAATTAATATGGCATAGACACTTTCAAATTAACATTCTAATAATTACTATTGATATTAAAATAAAAACAAATATATCATATCACTAAATTTAACAATGATAAACTATAAGGAAATGAAAAAGATCTGAGAGCCTCTGAAAATTCTAATAAACCACAAGTCTAATGGTTTAGGCAGAGATAAGAGAATACATAAAAAGTTATCTTATTAAGGTAACCAACATTGGGGAAGTTTTCTAAGAGAATATAAGGAAATCATTGTCAATGTATTTTTAAAACTAAATTTTTATTTTCCAGCAAAACAATTGTTAAACTAAAAAATGTGGAATGATAGTGGTTTCAAAGGTAAGAAAATAAATATATAAAATATTATTAGAGTAGTGAAATCCTCATATACTTTAGGAAGGAATGTGAATTGGCAAAACCTTTTCAAAGGGAATATGGTAACATATGCAAAATTTTAAGTGTCTATAATTTTTAATAAAGCAATTATATTTTCAGACATTTATTCTGTGTATATACTGTACAAATGCCCATAGATACATCTACAAAGCTGCTGAAGATGAAATTATTTTTAAAAACTGGAAATAGTCTAATGTCTATCAATAGGGAACTGGCTAAATAACCATTTAATTTATAGGAGAGTTATCGAGAAGAATTTGGTATATTGTGTATATTAACCTGAAAAGCTGCCTGAGATATAATTCTTATAAAGAGAGAGAGAGAGAAAAAAAAAAAGACAGCAAGTTATAAAAAAAAGTGTGGATGGATGAAGTGACTTACATAGAAGTGAAAATACACACATACTGGAAAAAATTTTCTTAAGGCTTTATTATTTTTTGAAGCAGTTTTGGATTCATAGCAAAATTGAGAGGAAAGTACAGAAATTTCTCACATACTCCCTGTCCCTACATATACATATATTTATTTATTTATTTTTGTTTTTCTGTTTTAAATAGTAGAGATGGGGTCCTGCTATGTTGCCCAGGCTGATATTAAACTCCTGAGCTCAAGTAATCCTCCTACCTCAGCCTCCCAAAGTACTATGATTACAGGTGTGAGCCATCATGCCCTGCCTATTTTTTAAAAATATAATTTTCTGTGTAGAGAAAAATCTATGAAAAGATAAATAATATATTTGCAGCAATGGCTTCCTCTAGAGGTTGGAATTATAAAAACTAAGATAGCAAAAAAAATTTTCTTTCTTTTTGGTGTAAATATTTTATATTTAATAAAAAATAATTGTCAATATACTATACCTTATTTAATAAAATAATTTTAAAAATATGTTCCTATGGTGAATTAGTGGTAAATCAAGTGGTTATGTTGCTTTTCCTGAAGATTTGGAAAATATAGCTTTCTGTAAAAATTAGGATATAATTTAAATGTAATATTCCTCTAAAAACAGAATGAAACCATATAAAGACAATCAAGGCTAGACATGGTGGCTCACATCTGTAATCCCAGTACTTTGAGAGGCCGAGGCAGGTGGGTCATTTGAGCCCAGGTGTTTGAGACCAGTCTGAACAAAACAGTGAGACACCATCTCTACAAAATAAAAATTAAAAAAAAAAAAAATAGCTGAGCATGGTGGCATGGACATGTTGTCCCAGCTACTTGGGAGGTTGAGGTGGGAGAATCACCTGAACCCAGGAGGTTGAGGCTACAGTGAGACGTGATTGTAGCATTGCACCCCAGCCTGGGCGACAGAGTGAGACCCTGTCTCAAAAACACAAAACAAAAAACCAAATAAACAAACAAACAAAAAAAGAAGTAAAATGTTACAGTATATTTGGGATATGTGTGTTTTTTCCTCTCTTACATAATATTGTCTTAATTCCAAGTTATGTTAGCAAAACATGATGTCCCTTAAGAATAGCCCTGCACATGAAAAAAAATGTATTTCCCAAAGAACTCACAGGATCCAAAACTGCCACGACTTGCTTTATTGGCTCTTCATCTAATTCTGCCCTGGCCACCAATGAGAGAGAATAAAAAGGGTAAGAAAGAACCTGAACAGAAGACATGAGCAAAAACCATTGTTCACACTAAATGTTGTACAGATAATGTGAAATATAAGTATGTAGACCAAAAAATTAATTCTCTAAAGGCTAACTGAATAAAGAATCTGATTTTTACTATTTGATATTAATATTTTTCCATTAAAAATAAAGTTAAGCCCCAATACTTCAGAATCCAATATAGGACATTTTTCTTTTTCTTTTTTTTCTGAAGAAAACATAAGGAAACTAAATTAGAGGTTACCTTAAGTGTATTTACTTCTTTAAAGGCATCATCTCTTTCACGCTTGAGCCTTTCCATTTCATCTGCTTCTAAAGAATCACAAGGAAGAAGCTGTCAACATTAAAATATAAGAGAAAAGTTGTGCATTAGATGCTAATTATGAGAGGTAACATAAAAATCCTTTTTGACTAGTCTTAGGCTTTTGTTTTCTAATAACAAAATTCAGTTTCTTACGTTGGAGTCATTTGATTAGATAAAAGGGAATATTAAAGTATTAAAGCAATTTCACTCTAGGCTTAACTTTACATTGTTGTTACTTATAATAGAATTTTGATTTTGTTGTCACCTTTATCATTATTTTAACAATATAATTTTCCTTAAAATTCCAAATTCGAAGACTGTGTTTATAATGTCAAAAAGACTTCAGGAATTACCAACATAAACTATTCCCTAAATATATTCATTCTAATAGCATGGTATCTAAGGCTAACAAAATGCTGTACATTATAAATCAGATGGTTTACATGAGCCTAGTAAAGTATATTTATCAATTATGTATCTGGTTTTAACTAAGTGAAATGTAATGCAACAGACAAGTGGCTTAAAAAGATTCCTGCACAGAAATTGTAGATTGAAGATAATATTAATAATTTATGCACAAGTGAATAACAACAACAAAAAATAGCAGAGATGACCAGTTCTCTTATATCTAGCATGATGTCTTTGACCATCAATTATAATGTAAAAAACAACGACAGTCTAATCAGAGATAAAAATCCAAGTTTACAGCCATCTCCTATGTGGAAGCTATAACAACTAAAGAAAATAGAATTTAAAGGATTAAGTGGAGAAAGCGGTTGTTACGTAAGCATGGGCTTAAAGCAGGGCCCTTTAGATAGGTGAAGCGAATGTGGAGTAGAAAAAAAAAATAAAAATAATTAATAATATCAATCACTTACTGGAAACTTATATGTGCAGATGTATTACTAAGGACTGTATATATTCAATATCAATCACTTTGTCTCCATTTTACAGATGAAGAAACAAGCTCAGAAATGTTAATAACTTGCCTAAGGTTTCACAGCTAACAAATGGCCATTCCAAGAGTCCCACAAATCATAGTCTCTGATTTTTACTAAAGATTCAACAAAAAACATGGTGGAATAGATGTAATAAACTCATATTTGCTTTCCAAACTCTAGAATAACAAAAGTAGGAGTTATTCTTCCTATTTGGGGAGAATTTATTTCCCTGAACATCACTGGTTCCTTTTTGGTCTGTCACATTAGCTTTTGGGTATCTATGGACATTGCCAATAATTTATATGATCTACATTCTTCATGGTTCTGTTACTCTGCTCTCTCAGAAGTACTCAACACACACACTCATAAGAATTCATTCCTAATTGTTAGAATAATTTTGAACACATTTTAAAATGTAATAATATTTCCCAGAGTGTGTTCCAAAGGATATTAACAGGCTTTGTGTAAAAGCAAAATTGAGTGGTAGTGATGGTGGTAGTTGTCAATGATTTAGAAAAAATTAATCTTACTTCCTGCATGGCGTCCAACAGCCTTAATATGCCAATAAGCATTTGAATTGCCAAAAAAAAAAAAAAAAGTATAATAACTTGTCATGTTTCCTCAGTAATTTCACCATACTACAAACCCCTAACCTCTTCACCCTGTTGCCTTCATTTATTTATTTTTATACTAGCTCATGGAACTAAAGTATACAAAACACAATCTGGGAAACTCAATGTTGCTACTCAGCATTCATATGGCCTATTCCATTTTTTCATTCTAAGAAGTGAAATAAGGAGGATTCAAAAGTTTAAATAAGGCTGGGTGCAGTGACCCAGGTCTGTAATCCCAGCACACTGGGAGGCTGAGACTGGAGGATTGCTTGAGTCCAGGAGGTTGAGATCAGCCTGGGCAACATAATGAGACCTTGTCTCTACAAAAAGTAAACAAAATTAGCCAGACATGGTGGGGCACTCCTGTAGTTCCAGCTATTCAGGAAACTGAGGTGGGCGGGAGGTCAAGGCTGCAGTGAGCTGAGATTGCACCACTGCACTCCAGCCTGATGACAGGGTGAGACCATGTCTTTAAAAAAAAAAAAAAAAAGTCTAACATTTTAGATACCAGAGCTAAAATAATTTATTAAGAGAAATTATAGATTGGGATTTTAGGGATGTGATAATAAACTTTTGAACTTAACATCATGGAGGTAAATCATGCATAAAAGAATCCATGGTACTATTTCAAGAGGCAAAGCCTAAATAGTCATAGAACAAACTATGAATTAAAAAAATGTTTTATGATCCCACTGCTATTTTGGACTGTGCAGCAAAAACTTGCAGTCAGAGAATTGGCCATGAATGTTCCTTGTGAATTCTTTGAAAAGCCCCTTTGTGTTCAATGACTTCTTTTATACAGTTCCATTCAAATATACTTCAGCTAAGGAAGCAGCAAATGAATTGTTGTTATTTAACAGCAACAATTCCAGACAGATGCCTGTTTTCAAAATCTATCACTAACTACTGAAATTTATATTCCTTAACCTTCCACATCTGTTTTCTGTCTGGTTCTCACAATATCGTTTGTGATCCTTGGATCCCTTGAACTTTGCAACAGCTGGTAAATAACATTGTAAATCATTTCTACTCTGCTTTCTAGAATCTCCTTCTGGAGATGTCAAGAAATACATACTATAGGTCATTGGACTGTGCTGATTAGGTCTGACTTCACTTTTACTGTTGCTGCTCCATCATATTTTAAATTACCTGAGTTGTATCAATCCTGGATAACTGCTATTCTGTTGGCCATATTCCCTAATCTCAATTCATTTTAAACAGAAACAGTTACAAAACAGTTAACTTCAGTGTCAGTCTAATTTTATTGATAAGGCCTTCCATTAGAGACCTATTCAATTACCTCCTTTCCTTATAAAAGTGTGTGTGACTTTACTATCCTATTCACCTAAAAATTTCTGGGTATCTTCTTTTCTCCTTCCATTTCCCTGCTCATTCCTTTCACTTCTTATAATCTGGCTTATACATCTTTCCTCTCATTCCCATGTTTCTAAAATGATTACTTCCAATTTCACCAATAAAACTGCCATGTGACAAAGAAAATGACCCCAACCAACTTTCTTCTTTGTTATATATAACAGTATTGAAGGCTTTTTTCCTTGAAATTTTATCTTCTTTAGATTGTGATATCCTAATATCTCACCCAGCCTTCTGCACATTTAGGCTATTCCCAATGAGTTACTTTCATGTCTACTCCTTAAATGGAGAAAGGGGGTTTGGGAGGTTCCCCAAAGTTTGTTCCTTTTCTCCTTTTTCCCTACAAGTTCTGAGTGAGCACATTCACTATTATGCTTCAACTATCACTCTCCAAAATATCCCCAAATTCCTTCCCAGTGTCTACTTCCTAATTTCCAGTGGCCTTTGGTTATTTGTACTTGCCAGCTTCTTAAATCTCTCTAAAACACAACCTGTCACCGTCTGTACTTTGAAAAAGGCTTTCTCCTTATTTCCCTACTTCTATTAATGCTTCCTGTACCATCATATTCTTAGTTATCCTAGCCAAAACTTTGGAGGTTTTTTTTTTTTTTTTTTCATTCATTCCTCTTCCTTAGTTCTCATGTCCAAAGGGTCAGCAAGTCCTACTGATGATATATTTGTTGCAGTTGTTGTTTTCGGTAAGTAATCTAGATCTATCACATGTTTCCTTTCTATTCTCCCCACCTTCACTATACTTTAGTTTTTTATTATCTTTATTTGGATTATTTCTACAGTCCTCTGTCTAGACTACCTACCACCACTTTCATTCCCTTCCTAGATAACCACACATAATATTCCTCTTTCTAAAATATCACTTTTGTCATTTAACTGTTTTCCTTAATGGCTCCTCACTGACTACTGAGTAAAGTACAGACTTCTAAATTTAACATTTACCCTTTGAGGCATAACTTCTGTCACCTGAATGAACCCAATTATCTTTTTTTCTTAAGTAGACTACTCTCTGTGTGCATTACATTCTAATTTTTCTGTTTATGCTAATACTTTTATCACTCCCTAATCACCTCTTGAGCACATAAAATCCTACTTATCCCTCAAAATTTACTCAAATGCCAACTGTTATGAATCTTTTCTGAATGTTCTAAGCTTTATTACTCCTACGGCCTTGCCACACAATGCAGCTTTTCTTACTATAATTATTTGGGCACATGACTTTTCCTTAAAATATGTAGGCCAAGTTTTATCTATCTTAATAACATGTGAACATAACAAAACATGCACACTGCAGTTGTTCAATGTATATTTTGTGTTTTTGTTAGGGAAATGGCTATAAAGTATTTACTGCTATACATGGTGAGAAATATGTACATATTATGATCCAGTATAAGTGAAACATTACTCAGTTTTATCACATACAGTTCAGTTTGATATTTTTCATTTTGTTCTATTTCACTTGTTTAAGGGTAGTCGCAGAATACTAAATTGACTTAACAAGAGCCCAAACTGTGAAAATCTATTTTAGGGAATTTAGTGTTCTGTCTATAATTTTAAGATAATCCATTCATGATACAGTACTTGATTAGTCTGGTAAAATCATACTATGATGGACTATATTCTGCTATTGCTAAGTTTAGAGTACTGCTAAATGTGGGCTCCAGCCTTGCCCTTTCTGCATATAACCTTGTGCCAACAGCAGGTGTAGCACTGTGTGAATTTTGTAATGTAGCAATGATGATTAGACTCACAGTAAGATAATTATATTTTTGGTTCTAAATTGTCATATTCTTCCAAACCCAAAAGTTGTCAAACAAATAAAAGTAGGACTGATTTTAAACTGACTCAGCAATTCCTACTTAAAAGATAGCATCTCAAGAGATTTTATGAGTCAGACAAAATAATGAGCAAAAGCAGCAAGTTACAAAAGAGTACAAATTCTATAATTCTATTTATTATGAAATTCAATCAAAGGCAAAAATAATCTATGTTGTTATAAGTCAAAATATTGGTTCCAATGTAAAGGTGGGAAAGTGGTGGTTGACTGGGAAGGTGGCCTGAGGGAGCCTTTTGAGTGGTGATTCCACTTGAGATACATAATAAAAATTCATCAAATTGTACACTTCACATTTTTGTACTTTATTTTGTGTCTATTAGATTTCAGTAAGAATGCTTTCAAAAATAAATTAAGAAAGACAAGCCATCTTTATCAGCCAAAAAAAGAAAACATATGAGTGAAAGACATGTATGCCTAACAGAATGACCCAGCCCTGTTGTTTGTGAAACTGAGATGGTTGAGGGGGTAACCATAGTGGAATTTCCCACCCTCATAGACAGTTGGCATCTATAACTACAGACTGATTGACATACTTCACATGGGGGACTAAACTGCTTTTGAACTCAAAAAAGTAGGGAATGACACTGCAAAACAATCAGTAATTTTGTATTTGTTTTTGGTGAGCCACATGACAGTAATTGTGATTTTTATAATGTTTCTTCGAACTGTTACATTACCCATTAGTGAACGTGAAACCAAAGTTTTAATGAAATACAAGTGAATATTAAATAAGAATGCAATGTACATAGAAAAGGTAACTAATGCTTTGACAGGCTTTTGCTTCAGTTATATATGTAAGTATGGTGAAAAAGTACATTTTCTTATTGTGGACTCAAGTGAAAAAATACAATACAAAATTAATTCTATTACACAACATTTTGATCTGAAGCCACCAATTGGAAATCATTGACATATCGGAATTATTGACATGTCTGGAATTATTGACTCTTGCACAATTGCCATTAGCACTTTGCTTTTGCTGTCAAAGTATCACAGGTTAACACATTCTTTTTTTTTTTAATCCCAACAACTTCCAAACTATAAAAACATTCTTATCTGCCCTAAAATTAATTGGTAAGGAGGAAATAAATTGCTAACTTAGAGCATGACAATCCATTTGCAGCTGCTAAAAAAGATTTGCTTGCTCACACAAAATACTCTGAATTGCCCACTTCATTGGCATGTTGTAAATTACCCAACTATCTTTGCCTTCCACATAAAAAATGAGCATGGCAGCTCTGAGAACTGTTTGGCAGTATAAAACAATGCTCCCTGCCATCAACATTAGGTAGATAAATACATAACACCTGAATCAACAGAATGAAAACTCTGCTACTTGAATACAGCTTTAGTTCTCTTTGAATAAATGCTACAAAATTAGTTCTGATAAATCAGTGCTTCATGCTGGGAGAACTGGGTACTCTCCTGAGGGTTATAGAACAACCAGATCTTTGGGTGACTGCAATGGGCAACATGCTTAGCAGCAAAAGAGACTGCTTACAAAAGAGAACAAAGTGATTTGAAACATTAAAAAAAGTGACATGCATCATTTTTTAAATGAGCGGTCAGATTTATTTGTTCAATAAGTTAATCATACACTTATATACTCTGTGTTTCTGGAATTTGAAATTATGTAATTAATAATAAACAGTATTCAAACTTCCTGTCAATAAAGGGTATCACCTGAAAACAGTAGAGCTCTAAATATGTCCAAGAAATAAATGTGCAATTTTTGTTTTTAAACTTGAACTAAAAGTTATTAAAAACATGTAACACATCTATTCTCCCGCTTGAATTTAGGGTTTCTAGCAGCATTCAAAGAACTTGACTGACCGTATTATTTATTTAAAAGTATCACTGAAAACAGAAACAAAAATAAAGAAATATCTAAGTTAATAAGACTATTAGCAATTCAGAAAGGGGATCATTAGAACAAAAAATGTTGAACACTTCCTGGAAAATAAAAAGAAAATGGGTATAACAAGGTTGTAAGATATAAGGTAAATATATAAAAATTAATTTTACTTTATATATAACCAAATAAATTTAAAATGAACAAATTTTTAAAATGTACCATTAATTTTAATGGCAACAAAAAGTGTAAGGTAACTAGATTATTAAAATATAATTAATTTAAAAATATGTAAAATATATTGACATCAAAGCAGATATAAATACATGAGAGCCATAACATGTTCACAGAAACTTAAATTTATAAAGATGTTGATTCTTCCCAAAATAACGTATAAATCCAATAGAGCAAGATTTTTCATGGAACTCATATGGACAAGATAAGACTGAAGATTAGCCAAAGCGATATTTTAAAAGAATGGCAGGGGGTCTGGGAGGCAGTTTGGAGTGATGTCAAAGGACATAACATTTCCATAAGACAGCAGAAAAAACTTCAAGAGATATATTGTACAACACGGTGACTATAGTTAATAATGATGTATTGCATTTTGAAAATTGCTAGAGTAGATTTTAAGTGTTCTCACTATAAAAAAAGATAAATTATTTGAGGTAAAGCATATGTTAATTAGCTCAATTCAGCCATTCCACAATGTATACATATGTTGTACATAATAAACATATAAAAGTATTATTTGTCAATTAAAAGTAAGTAAATAAGATAAACAAGATAGGAGAACATCTTATCAGATATTAAGACTTATGGAGCCAAGAAACCACCAGAATAGAGTTCAGAAATTCCCAGGTAAATATGGTAATTTCATAAGGGATAGAGCTGGCATGAAAATAATTATTTCATCCCATTAAAATATAGATTTATATTTTTAATATTATGTTCATAAAAATTGATCAAAAGTTATGTCATATTTCTAATTTTATTGATTAATTATGTACCAATAATAAGTATAATTATAATTCAATACAGGAGAAAATTTTAATTTGTAAAGCCTTATAAACACAGGAAAATAAAACAAATCATTTTAATTCATTTAAAGGTGTTTTTTTGCAGCAAAATGACAGGGTGATCATTTCCCAAGCATACAATTATGTGTTATCAGGATGAGATTCCAGGTCTATACGGAACAGAAATAAGAGCTAACAGAGAAAACGAAAGAAAAAGTTTTGAGAATAAAAGGATAATGCATGAATTTTCTTTGAAATAGATGGCTATGGGTATAAAATACTGTAGTATATAGATTCTACTGGTAACATTTAAAAGAATTGTATAATAACAGGTTTCTTTTAAAAAAATATATATATTTATATATCCAATGATTTTAATCACTGGAAACAAACAAAAGAAATCAACCAATGAAAAGTTGTTATAACTATATCATAAGACTAAGTCAATTTTAAGGTAAAAAACATTCGAATGGTCGATATAGAAACAGATCTGTGTATCTAGATAGAAATCTAGTATATGATAAAGTTTGCATTTCAAATCAATGGCAAAAATGTTTAAATTGTTTAAATTGTTTAAAATGTTTAAATTGTTAAATGTTTAAATTGTTTAAAAAAAGATGGGTTTTTAAACAAATGATGGTGGAACAAAAACAAGTGGTTTGCCTTGCATAAATAAGAATGAATTTTTCAGTTAATTAAATATACAAATTATATAGAACATAAATTAAGAAGGAGGTCCTTAAGAGGATAATACTACCAAAAATCCACATTGAAAAGGACTAAAATATTCAATAATATAAATGTCAAACTTCTATAGAACACATGATTGAAGCAAATAGACTTCACAATTCCATTTTATGTAAAGCACAAAAAGAAGCAAAACCAATCTACATTGTTAGAAGGTAAAAGAGTAGTTACCCAATTTTTTTGTAGGGGTACAGAGGTGTTACTAGCAATCAAAACGGAACCTGGGGGCAGGAGAGCATCTGGTAATGTACATATTTAATTTTATGTTTCTTGATCTGATGCTAATAAGGATGGTTTAGACTATAAAATTTCATAGTATATATACACATTATATAGGTGCTTTTCTGTGTGTATATTATAGAGAGATAAAACAGATTAGAATGGACACATGCACACATGGTATCTATCTGTCTAGCTAGCTAGTTACAGCACGTATCTTCCACATATCAAATTGCCAATACTGGTAAACTTAGGTATGGGAGTAGCACAAGAAGCTGGTGAGAGAGGAGAATGAAGATCAGGATGAACTTTTACTTTTGATTTTAAATTGATTTGTATTTATGCAAGAAACATGTATTATTGCTATTTTTAAGTGAAAAAAGCCTACACATATGACATATAACATTCAAGACTTGTGACTTATACGTGTCAAAGCAATTCTATAGGGCATACTCTACCTGTGAATCTAATATATTGGAAATTTCATGTGCACCAACATTTACGTCATCCAACCGCAAGCAAAACAAGTTTCTGGCAACCTGGACAAAATCTAAAATGGAACACATTTAAGTAAGAACATAGCATTTAACCCCTTCTAAATCTTACTTTATTCTGTATGAAGTTGCTAATGTTTCAAATTTAACCCGCATAAATTATCTTAAAATAGTATTGACTGAAGTGATAGGTAAATGTAGTCCAAATAAGAAGAGACAAATTGGTCTGAACTTACTTCAGTTAACTTTGCTAAAATTAATAATTCGGTTAAGATAATAATAAAGCAAATATATAGCGTGGACCTATAGTTTTTCAACCCTTGTATTATAAGTAGAACTTTTTCTGAAACATATGATAATATTATGATTTATGGCTTTTCTAGCTGGAAGAACCTGAGGTTTGATAGCAATTATTAATAGCAGCAGCTAATGTTTATGTAACAGCTGCTGTATGCCAGGCACGGTGCTTAGCAATTTCATCCTCCCAACAGTCTTCTGAGGTAGGTCCTCTTATCCTGTCCATTTTACAGATGAAAAAAATTGAGGCTAAGACAGGTTAAATAGGAAAAAGAACAGTTCATAGGCTTCTTCTGACATGAAGAGTAACTTACTTATCTATGTATCCTCAAATATTTTCCACTTTGGCTACTGTATTTTTAATTTCCAAGGATTCTTTTAAATGTTCTCTGATTGTTCCTGTTTTACAACATCCTACTTTATTTCATGGTTGCATTACCTTCACTTATCTTTTTAAAGATGTTATGAGAGTTTGCCTGAATTTTTTGTTTTGTTTTGTTTTGTTTTTGAGATGAAGTCTCATTCTGTCACCCAGACTGGAGTGCAGTGGCACGATCGTGGCTCACTGCAGCCTCCACTGCCCAGGTTCAAGCGATTCTCCTGCCTCAGCCTCCTGAGTAGCTGGGATTACAGGCATGCACCACCATGCCCAGCTGATTTTTGTATTTTTAGTAGAGACAGGGTTTCACCATATTGGCCAGGCTGGTCTTGAACTCCTGACCTCAGTTGACCCACCCACCTTGGCCTCCCAAAGTGCTGGGATTACAGGCATGAGTCACTGCTCCTGGCCTCCTACCTGAAATTCTCTTCTGTGCTTCTGTATTTCTTTTTTTCTAAGTTCCTTTATTCTGTTTGTCTGATAGTTTGGGGTTCTATACTTTATGTTGGAGGATTTCTCCAAATCTCTGGTGACTCTTGACTATGAGTTCATGTTTAAGAATTGGGCACTAAAAAAGTTGGTTGGAAATTTTGTGTGTGTAACTTGCTTTGTCAATTGGCAGTTTTCACTACAGGGAAATCTGGTGGCCAGCTGACATTTTTGTTCACTTCTTCAGAGAGAATACTATTGTCTTCTGCCTATAGTAATAAACATGGCGGCAAAGTTCTCTGAGCAATCTGGATGCATGTTACGAGTGATGACTCACTATATACTCCACAAACTCCCTTGCTGTTGGCAACTATGGGTCCACGATCTCTGGTTTAATTTCTCAAAGGAATATACTTCTTTTTCCCCAGAGGTGTAGCGTGGTAAATGCCGGACTACTTAAGAAAGGGCAGAAAAGAGCATGCATAATTCTCCTTATAAAGATTTCCAACAATTCTGTTTCAATATCCTGCCTAAAAACTCAGTCTCCAGAAGTACTTGATGTCTTCAATTCCTAAATCATTTTAGGGTCAAATCAACTTGTTCCTCATTGTGATTTTCCTCTATCTTCACACAGTTGGGCTTTACCTACCTCTGCTCACAAATTTGTTTACTTTCCTCACCCATTTTCCTGTCCTTAGATATTGTGGTTTTAGTTGTATATGTTTTTCTGCTTCTTATTTTCATGATTATTTTGGGATGATTTTCAAGTGGAGATGGGATGAAAAATATCTTTTTATCATCACTTAAAAACCAAAAGGTCAATTTTCTTTTTAGCAATACAGATGCTTTATAAATGATACAATGTTACATCTACTATACAAGAAAAAATTAAATACTTAATAGTGACAAGAAGACAAAACGTGTTACATTCAAACATTACTGGTGGTAGAACAAATATATTGCAAAATATCTCTGAAAAACAATTTACCAGTATATATCAAAAGTCTAAACCATTTGTGAGGATTAGGCTTAAGAAAAGAAAGAAAAACAGCTACATTCACAATGATGATAAATACAGATTTGTAATATCAGCTACTAAGAAACAATCAAAATTCACAATAGTAGAAAGCCTTAATATTATAGTACAACAACTAAGTGGTACATTATGGTATCTTTAATAAGAATAGAGTTGATCCCTGAACAACATAGGCTTGAACTACACAAGTTCACTTATACATCAAGTTTTTTCAACCAAATGCATAAAAAACACAGTATTTGCCGGTTGCAGAAGCCACATATATGGAGGGTAAACTTTTACTATATGTGGGTTCTGCAGGGCTGTCTATGAGATTGAGTATGGTTGGATTTGGATATATGCAGGCGTCTTGGAAACAATTCCCCTCCCATAGCAAGGGATGACTGTAATTATGTAGCATCATAAATATATTTACTACATGATATTAGCTGAAAAAGGATTAGAAGGAACCTCACAGTAGTGAAATTAGAACTTCCATATTTTGTACTGTTTCTTTTGTTATTACTAAAGCAATGTTTATGCAGTAAATAAAAAATAAAAAGAATATGATAGAATGATGATAGTTTAGAGCTGTTTAGGTCCTAATAAAATTCTTTCTGCTGACCCTGACAGCTCAGTAATTCTAGCTGAGTTCTTGGGGTACTGATTAAGAAACTTGAAATGGATGTAGTTTTACTTTTCCTTCTCTCCTTCTAAAGAACTAACACTCTTAATGAAAATGTGTCACAATAACTCTTGAATGATGATTCGGTGATAATACAACACAGTAAACCTAATATTACCTCCAAAAGACACTGTCCCTTTTGAGTCTGCTTGTACTTGCTGTCTCAGGGCTTGGTGTTGTTCCTTTGTGGGCTGAATACCAAGATAATTTAGAGCCTGCAAGATAGAGAACTCATGAAAAGCAATTTTTCAAATCTCCAAAGAATAAAATTTTTCATTACAAACTTTACAACCCAGGGAAAATAATCAATACCAGAAAGAGTTGACCAGGATTAAACACCCTAGGGCAGTCGGCTGACTATGGATTAAGTGCCCATAAAATATTAGCTTCCTGATTTTACTACTACCTCACTTTTTCCCCAAGACTAGCACTTTGGCTAATACCAAATTTATGACATTATCCTATAACCAAAAATCAAACTATTTCTTAGTTTGTATGATTTGGCAGAAGTAAAATGGCAAAAGAATCCTACCACATCAGATTTACAAGTGACACTCTAAAACATGAATTATATTTGGTTAATATCTTGTCTTTGAGAGCAAAACTGAAGTTGATAGGAATTAGATTCAACATAAAATCTTCTGATTTTTGGCTTGTTGGGGATTACACAAATACTAAACTAAAAAGCTTTCTCTGCCACTTACTTCTCTCTTTCATCAGGCTCGTCCCTTAAGGGAAAGCTCTTTCTCCTTTTGGTATCCATTAGTGATTAAAAATTCAGAGACTGTTAATTGTATTCCAATGTCCATTCTCTCCTTGCTCCTTAGTAACCGAACCAACCACAATTTCGGCTGAAAACACTGCCATGCAGGTAAAAGACATTTCCCAGCCCCTTGTACATCTCCAAGCAGCCATGCCACTAACTAGGTACTAGCCAATGAGAGACAACGGGAAGTGCCATAGAGTACTACTAGGAAGTCTCCTTTCAAAAGTCAGGGTAAGCACTTCTTGTCTATTCGGATTAATAAGGGAGAAAGAAAGAGAAAGAAAAAAGATGAAAGGAAGGAAAGAAAGAGGGATTGATGGAATTTGAGCAGTTCTTTTGGTTCATGAGGTACCTCAGTAAAGATGGTGGAACAGAAAGATAATTAGAACATGGTCCCTGACACTCTGGAACCTCCACAGCAGCCCTGGATTACCTTCTTTCAGCTTCTTTTTGGTGTGAAAGAAATTTCTAAAGGAAACCACTGTTATTTTGAGTTCACTAGTTATACATAGCAAAATCTAATCTTAACTAACGCAAAGGGACTGATTGGATGTCCTATTATTGGATATGGCAAGAGCATATATAGTGTCGATCACATCAAAACTAAAATGTAGGCAAAGTTTAGTATTGGTAATTATCTCTTACATATTTCTTCCTCCTTTAGAATCTTGTTCAATCATTTAGTATTTCATTCATCAAATAATTTGTTTGGTGCCTACTATTTGTTAGCCACTAAACTATGCATAGCTGATAGATAAATGAAATATAGTCTCTCACCCCAAAGAGTTTATGGTCTCTAGGGTGAGAACAACTGTAAAGAAATAAGTAAAACATGTAATTTAGTAGAAGTATGTATAGGGTATATTAATATACAAAGCAAGTGGTTAATTTGTAAGTGCGCAATTTGGGAACAATGAAGAATGGAGGAATAATCTCAGGAAAGATTCTTTCAAAAATGATTCCTGAGCTTAGTGTAGCATCATCTGCTTATCTTGTCTTGCAGTCAAGTATTTGCATTGTATAACATGGCATAATGATTTTTACCTTCTGTATGTTTTTCTCTTCAGTTATAAAAATGTTTCAAATATAAACACAAAAAAGAATAATACAAAGAACACCCATATACTCACTATCATCAATTAGTCGTTAATATGTACTTAAAATTTATGTATATATTTTCAATAAATAAAACTATATATTTGGTTAAAAGTTTTTATAATTGTTCCTCAGCAGGAAGTACTATCCTAAGTATTCTTCCTAGTCCTAATTTAATGACGTTTACTATGTAAGCAAGTATCCCCCAATAATATTTACTATTATTTTGTGCATTTAAGGTTTCACATCAAGAGTATAATCTAAAAGAGTAACTCTACAAATTATTTTTATTTTTATCTCAATTTTGTGATTTCATAATTGTTCAATATTGTCTGCAAAACTAGTTCACTTATTTTAAACTGTGAATAGTAATCCATTGTATAAATTTATTGTAATTTATTATCCATTCCCTGATTAACAGGCTTTTATAACTACTCCAATTTGCTTTTTTAAAAATTACAGATTATACATGCCTCTTTGTATAAATGTATGAAAATTTCTCTACATTATATCCCTAGAAAAGGAAGTGCTAAGCCACAGGGGACATATGGTCAATTTTATTAGATATTGTGGAATTGTTCTCCAAATTGGCTTCATCAATTTATGCATATCAGTAGTGAATAAGCATTCCTATTTTTCTACATTCCTAACAGCACCTGCTGTTTCCACTCTTTTATTTTGTCAGTGTTGTATATGAAATAGTATGTTGTTTGTTAATTTGAATTCCCCTAGTTACAAATGCAATTAAACATCATTTACATGTTTATTAGCAATGTTTTTGACTCATAAATTATTTAAAATATGTTTTAAATTTTCATACATGAGGTTTTAAGAAGTATCTTTACTGATTTTGAATTTGGTCTCTGTTTTCCAGATGTGACACACAAAAATGTCTCCAGACATTGCCAAGTGTCCCAAGAAGAAACACTGCAGCTCTGCCCTTGAGAACCACTGCTCCAAAGACAATTGCTGTATTAACAATTGTATCTATTTTTTCAGGGTTTTTCTATGAATATAGTACCTATAAATTTATATAAATTGTGAATTTTTTGCAAAAATTGTCACACTATATATGGTGTTAATAATTATTAATATATCATGTCTTTCTATTCTGTACATTTTACAAACATTGCATGCTTTTTAAAATTGTCATAATTGTACACTGTTGAAATGAACTTTTTTTAAAGCGTTCTCCTTCTGATAATCATTTAGAGTGCACACAATTTTTCACTATGGAACACAGTGCTACAAAGTGCTAGTGCTTTTTGCTTTATGCCAATGACTTCAGCAGCTGTAGGAATTATCTGAATTTTTTAAAAAATTATAAAATATTAATACAGCAGTTATAGAAAATACTATAATAAAGTTATAGATATCTACTATCTTGCTTCATTAAAGCTTAGCACTCAACTATATTTACTTCAGTTTTTGAATGTAACCAAAACATTATAAAAACCCCTTTTGAACTTATTCCCAGAGGTAAGACTTATCATATATTTGATTTAATATTCCCATGAATTTTTTATTATATAATATTTGGTATATACTAAAAGCATATATGTAAAAAAACATGAGTTTTAAAGTAGGACAGTAAAACACCTATGAATCCACTTAAGCAGCATAAAACTGTGAACACTGTTGGATTCATACCACAATATGGATATGGTATTTCACTAGAGGTAACCATACTAATGAATTCTGAACTATTGATTTCTTCTTTATCATTCTTGATCTGTTTATTTTAAAATGGTTTTTCACATACATATGTATTCCTAACATGTTATTTTGTTTTACCGGTTTTTTAGCTTCATAAAAATGCTGCAGATGGTTTTCTAAAGCTTGCTTTTTTTCACTCTACAGTAAGGTTTACTACATATTTCAAATCAGAAAGTGTGAGTTCAACTTTTTTCTTTATTAATTTTTAATTTCAATAGCTTTTGCGATATAGGTAGTTTTTGATTACATAGATGAATTGTATTAATGGTGAAGTCTGAGACTTTAGTTTACCTATTTACCCAAGTAGTGTTCACTGTACTCAATATGTAGTTTTTTATCCCTGCCCCACACACCATCCCCCTTCTGAGTCTCCAAAGTCCATTATTTCACTTCCTTTATGCTTGCCTTATGATACCCAGGGGACGTACTCTGGTTTCTTGGGTGATAGGAAGGGCCATAGGGTTCCCACAAGTTTCTGTCCTTTGTGTTAAGCTACCAGAGTGGGTGGAGGGGCAAAGCCAGGTGGGAGCTGGGTCAGGCAAGTCCGTGTTCTGACTCCACCTGAAGGACAAGCAGTGGCCCTTGTGGGGTTTAGCGAGTAGTTCTCTGGCCACCGGCAGTAATGTTCTAGGATAAGAGCATAGCTGCCTCTGCTGTACAGAAGAGTTCACACAGGGAGTAGGGAGTAGCAGATGGCAGTAAGCCTCACCTAGCTCCCATGCACTTGGCAACGCAGGTCTCTCACTTGCAGTGTTGGCTAGAAGCAGCTAGCTAAATTCCAGCTAGCTAAACTCACAACTGCCCCAGGTGATAAGCCTTTCACATAGACAGGAACCCTAGGCTTTCAGGCCACACCCTTTCCAGTCTACTTGCAAAGCCAGGGTGCCCAAGCTCCTCTGCCTGAGGCCGCAGCATACTTCCCACTTGCCCCCTGGTTCTGGACAAGGGAGTTCATCCCCATTTGAGATTAAATCGTGAATTTCAGTTGGGAGCTTCTCTCAACCTGCAACCGCTGCCTGACTTAGTTGGCTGACTTCCACAAAGTCCCCTGTAATGTAGAATCAGGAATGGCTTCCTTCGGTCCATGTTGGAGGCTGCAAATCCACGCTATGCTCTTCTCACTGCCCCCTATATTAGTTCCAGTGCTGGGTAGGGTTAATGCCTTCTCCTGTGAGCTACACTGCCAGGTTCCCCAGTGGGGGTGTATATCTCTACCCATCTTACACTCTTGGGACTTAGTTTTTTGGCTGGCTCATGGTGTAGGCTGCAGCCTCCTGCTTCTTTCAAAGGGTTTTGGGGTTTTATTCCATTTTCCTTTAAGCTCCTACATTGCTTCTTGGGAAAAGGTTCACAGTGTGAGTATCGATACACTATTTTGTCTTTCCAAGGAGGACAGACATGCTAATACCATTCTAATCTATCATCTTGGGAAAAAAACAAAAACAAAAAACTTCTTTTTCATGACTGTTTCAGCTACTTTGGGTCTTTTGCATTTCCATACAAATGGATCCATCTTTTTTTGCATTTCCTACAAATGGATAGGGTCACCTTATCCATTTCTGAAAAATAGCCAGCTGATATTTTGATAAAGATTGCATTAAATCTGTATATCAATGTGGGGAGTATTGCAATCTTAAC